GAAAAGAAGATCAGGGAGGACCAGCTAACCATTCCCACGCCAAAGTAAACCAGGTCCAGGAGCCGGATATGCTGGTTGGCCACATGGCCAGTAGCAGGTGCCCAGATGCCAAGTGAGCGCCTCCTCCTCCAGCTCAAGTGAACCCACAAACGAGAGGGCCTGTGGGAGCCGCTCCCAGGAGGCACACTTCTGCCAGTTTTGTGGGGAGACATGGACTGGCTTTATTTATTTACTTTTACCTTCATAAAATCATTTTTGAAACTGGCCTCAGCTATTTCTGGCCCCTGGCACCTGGCTGGGCAGCCAATATCTCCCTGACATGGTGCAGAACGATTAAGGGAGAAACAACCGTCTAAATTGACAGGGGTGTGGGCTCCTGAAATGAAGGTGGTGCACCTGTCTGTGGTCTAGGTTGACCACGAGGAGGAGGAGAAGGAGGAGGAGAAAGAGTGCAATTTAGTCATCAATGGAAGGAGAACGAATGGCAATCCTGTCTTCCTCAAGGGAATACCCTAATGCACGCCAGCTTTCGTCTATGGCTCTCCGAACGAGCACACTGGGGGCGTGGTGGTGGACAACAGGTCCGAGATCAGGCCTCATGCCTGCCACCAGCTGGGGCATCCCACCCATTGGCACATCACTTCCCCAGCTGTTAGAGGAGGATGGTGGGTGTGTGATTAAATCAGCATTTCCTGAGGAGTACACTATGAGGTGTTCCAGGGTCTTATTACTCAAAGTAAGTTCCCTGGACCAGCAGGGTCAGCACTGGGCAGCCCATGAGGAATGTGAAGTCACAGAACTTAGACCAGACTTGCTGACCATTTGAACCGAATCATCAGCATTTGAACAGGAGTCAGGTGATTTGCATACAGATGAAGATCTGAGAAACACTGTCCTGGGCAGGAGACCCCAAAGGTACCTATTCACAGGGTCACACAGATTACTGGGTACAGACACACCTTTCCTGACGCTTTCTGCAAAGTCCCACCCAGAGGTCAGGCTTAAAGCCGGGACTGCGCATACTAGACTGCTATCCTGTGTGGGTCTATTCAATGAGCACGTGAGTTACAGCCTTAAATAACAGCCTCCATGTCGTTTCCCTTTAAAATTGAATGATCTTTAAGAGACATCATGCAGTCAGCTTCCCGCAACACTGCTGGGGTGAGCTAACGTGACAACACCAGGACCTGCAGACGGAACTCCCCTCAGCTGAAGTCCCAGAGACCATGGAGGCTTCGCCCACTGCAATTTCAAAATCATTCAGTTCTTGACAGATCATTGGTTGAACATGGGAAGCATGAGGAGCTCTGATGTGGAACTAGGACAATAAGCACAAAAAAGATACCAGTTTGCAAAGTCCCATCCAGAAGATTGTGATGGCACTTCAGAGCTGCCGTCTACTGTCAAATCCTTATCTAGCACATTAGCTGTCTCCGGTGCTTCAAAAGCCAGTCTGAGGCCCAGCTGCCATGGCTCACAGGTAGCATCATGGCTCAGGAGGCTGGAAGCCTCACAAAGGCAGAGATTCAGTTCCCCGTTGCCTATAATCTCAGCTACTTGGGAGGCTGAGGTTGGAAGTCAAGACCAGGAAGCACCTGCCCAAAATGCTTCTCTCTTCAGGCCAGAGGATGTTGTGGTGGTTGGAGGATTGGACTCCCACATGGCTGACTGTGGTTCAAGTTCTGGACCCGATGTCTTGAGAATCATGCTGGGCATGTGTGTATGCATGCCCACAATCCCAGGAGACTGGAAGGGAGGAGACTGTGGCATGGCCATCCCCGCTCCCCCGGGGGAGGTGATTTCTCTCTTTTCTTCTCTGTCTCTCTCTCTCCAGCGAGTACATGTATTCTATGGAAAAACCCTTTCTGTAAAAAAAAAATCTTCTCTCTCTCCCTCTCTCTCATAAAGGAAAAGGAAAACCTTACAAAGAAGAACTATAGTAACAATTATACTCAATTTGCCTTTTCATTTACTGAAAATAAAGACTATCTTCAAACACAGTGTACTATTTGCTAGAAAGTTTTTACAAATAAAGAAATCTTCTCTCTTATCACAATAAAACATAAAAGTCTTTTTTTTTTAAAGTGGATGTTTTTTCCTAAAAGCAAATCAAAAGACTTTCAAGCAAGATCCTAAAGGCAGTCCCCTCCCCCTCCACTTTTGACACCATTACACTAGTTAAATTTCAATTTACATTTTAATGTACACTACTCCCCAAGTCAAATGCAATATTTAATGGCAAATCATGTCTTAGCTTGCATAAATAATTTTAAATAAATTAAAGACCCTCTCACTTGCTACATGGGAAAAAATTAAAAATGTGTTGCAAACATTAGAGATTACATTAAATCAATTGCATAATATAGGTTTTTATTATATTGTTTTTTCAATTTTTGCTATAGGGCATTAGTGCTCACCAGAAAGACAGAGAGAGGCGGGAAGAGAGAGAAGGAGAGAGATAGAAGTAAAGTGAAAAAGCACCCCCCAGGGAAGATGGCCACACTGCAATCCCTTTACTTCCACTCTCCTTTCAGGCTTTTGGACATGCATGCACACAGACACAAGCCCCTGGTGTGTTTCTCAGGCTGTGGGACCCAGGGCGGAACTGCACCTTCAGCCATGAGGGAGCCTGCTGCCTCAGCAACTGTGCCACTGGCTGGCCCACGTGGTATAGGTTTTAATGATATTATATTGTTTACTTAAAAATCACAGCCTTATCATATACATACATACGTGTAGCATCCAGGAGTGGTAAAATGATGGTTTAATCTCTGAAGAGATTTGCAAGATTATTATCAGGGAAGCATTTCTAATAATATAGAAGTGTTCTTGGATGCTGTCATGCCTGGGAAAATGGATCGCTATGGCCAACCTAGAAGGAATTTTTATAAAGGTTACACATATCCTTAACCTATGGACAGATTTCTAAAACACAACACGGTTTAACTCAGTAAGCTTCAGTACGGAACAGCAGGCCTGCAGATGCATGATGTGGTGCCACGCGGAAGTCAATCTACTGGAGAACACAGGGAGCCCGTGGCGGCTCCTCCAAAAGCTAGACCTGGTTTCAGCATTTTTTTCCCAGAATATACTAATACTTTAATTGCATTTTCCCACAAGCTCTTTGAAGTGCCTTCTCACGGCTGATGACTGAAAAGTGCCAACCCTGTGCCCAGTACAGTGAGGAGCACTTTACAATCACTGCTAACTCTGGGGTGATTCCAAGAGGGGGACAGCCCCATCTGGACGAAGGTGCTAAAGGATAGAGATGAGATAAAATGCCCATCACAGAAGCAATAACGGTGGAGCTGAAAGTGGATACCACCAGGATTTGAGAGTCCGGAGTCCTACGGCCACGCCATCCACGTGAGGAACGGGCAAGTGAGGCCTGAAGGCACATGTCAGAAAGGGCACGAAGAGGCGCAGAACGCCGACGTAATGGCGAGCGTGCAATACAGCGTACGCCATCCGAGGTGATGGGAAATAGTGCAGGTGAGCGAGCCGTTCTCTGCCAAATGTTGCAAGCAAAACAATGCTTCCCCCTGGGCCAGTGCCTGGAGGTTTGCAGCAGGCATGAGTCCATGAGGAATGAAGAGAACGAGAATGGGGACGGGGCAGAAACTGAGGTGGCCATATGAGGAAGGTGTTTTACAGGGGTTCAGAGAACAGGCCGTGTGGGCCACAAAGCAGGAAAGCAAGAAGAGAAAGTGGGGAGGTGAAGGAAGTTGAGAAGACGGAGACTGGGAACCTGCCTCTCCTCTCCTGGGATAGAGCCCCGCAGAGGCCTGGCTGGGCTTGGCTGGCCGGATGCCCTACCCAGGCCACACAGGAGCTCAGTTCTGGACATGCTAAGGAAATAGGAAATGCTTACAGACTCCCTCTCAGCCAGCCTGCGCCTTCAAACCGTAAAATACTTGTTGGCTACAATGAATTAAATGATTACTGGAAACAGTCCCGTGCTTTACACAGTAAGAGTGCGACTCCGAGGCGACCAGTTCTCTGCAGACTGTGAGGGCCCAGCAAGCTCGGGAGAGAGCGCCCCAGATCAGCAGAACGCTGAAGGTGAAATGTATATTTTAAGAGGAAGATTTCATTTCCCAAGGAACATAAATGTCCCCGCAAATAGCAATTCACTCCTAGTCTTAATCCCTATGCCATCAGCATCTGCTATGAAGAATTCCTTGAGTCTGCAAATAAATCCCGCTTGCCCCATATTCTTTACGGCACACTCAGAAGGTGGGATTTGAATAAAACAACAACCACCTCTGCGTTCCACCTCCCAGTGTCTTCCTGGAGGCTCTCACACTCCCAGGCACACAGAGTGAGTTTACGGGGGTCGTGGGGTGGCAGTAAGGGAGTGGGTACGATGAAGACCTTTTAGGGGAGGAGAAAAGGAGTTTGCGTATTTATAAATCTTTTCGTAGATTATAAAAACACCGATGGTAAAATATGATGAAGTAATCTCAGACCTTCCTGAAGAGCAATTTTCTTTTTCTTTTTTATTACATTCTGCTATATTTTTTTAAAAGTCCTTCTTGGGTCAAACACATGCCATTTTAAAACCCATTTCCATGTTTTAAGATTCAGAAAAGAGATATTTAGAAGGAGGTTATCAAAATCCCTTAATGTTTTTAGCGCCGTATTTTTGCAGATCTGTGGGAAAGCACGGTAGGCACGCTCCACCCCCCGCCCCTCCTCAGGTGCCCCTGAACCTTGGCCCTGACGGCGAGGTGCAGGCGTCTTCCTCTCAGGAACAGTTTTCCTGGCATTGTCGAGACACCTGCACTGACAATCTCGGCAGAATCTCTTAGCCAACCTGATTAGCTGATTGTCCTCTGGAGGAAATGATCAAACATTGAAAACGCAATTCTGAAAGAGTAACTTCCGCCAAGGTGGAGGAGTCCTGGCAGCTCCGTGCTGTTCTCCTGTCACCACTCGCAGAAGCACCTGCCATGCCCAGACCCTCACCCTCTGGGACGAGGTCCCCGAGAAGTACTCACAGGCTATCCGCACTGAGGCCTTCCTGCTCTTGGAGGTGCCCAAGTGGCTCCACGCCACGCACTGGCACCAGTAGTCCTCTGGGCCGTGGAAATCCTCCACCTGCTGCCTGGTGACATTGATGAACACCTCCCGGACCTTCAAGCCTGTGGGGGACAGGGAGAAATCAACTGAGGCTAAGGTTCTTCTCCAGCAGATAGTTAAGGTTGGCCAAACCTTTTCTTTTTAATTAAACAATTCTGTTTTTAATCAAGGCAAGGTTTTAATTACTTTGACAATAATGTATGACTGCTAATTAAACTCCGCCAGCTGAGTAGCTGGGAAGCACCAGTGTGCACTATGACTGACGCCGCGCCAACGTGACGGAGCGTCCCCACAGGGCCTCCATGGCTTTGTGTCTTCATAACATCTACTGTGAGGAGAGTGGTCCCCAGATCAATTGCTGGGATTCTAGGTGCTGTAGAGACCGCAACACACCAAGCCCAGACATGATTCAGGTTGTTCAAAATCCTTACCCTAGGATAGGCAGCCAGAAGAGCCACTAAAGGCATGGCTTCGAAGGAAGAGAGGGCTGGGTCGTGTGCCCAATGGGGTGACCGGGCTGGAGTCTAGGAGAGGCTGGAGCACCAGCCTCAAAGGCTCAGACAGCAAAGTCACCAGATCCAAAGAGAGTGAGCATGAACGAGCGGGACACTCTTGGTCTGAGTCCTGAGAGGAGAGCCCGGGCTGGCCCCAAAACAATGGCAGGAGGAGGTGAAGAAAGAGGTGCTCTTACAGAAAGAGGGGCCCAGGCTACGCCTGTGAACTGTGAAGACCTCGACCTCTTATGGGTTCTTTTACGCACTGCAATCTCTTTCTCATGGTCGGACAAGTGCCTGGGCTTTACCATGGGAGTGAGCGCTTCACCCAAACCTCTGAGCAAGGACTACCAGATTCTGTTTTTTATTGTTTGTTAAGTACATTCATTCACTTCCTCCCTGATCAAGAGAGATGGAGACACAGAGAGAGTACCCCAGCAAGGTGTGGACACCACGACCCACCACCAGCCTGTCAGTCACGCTACACGGTGTGCCCAGGAGGCCTCAGGGTATGAACTCACAACCTTCCCATGTGGAGCAGCCTCACAAAGCTCGGTCTGGCCCATACCAGCCTTTCTCTGGGAAGGACTGTCAGATGTCATGGAGTGTCAAGAATGAAAGGGGAACCTCCCATCACTAGCTGCACACAAAGTAGTGGCTTCCATAGTGGGCGTGGCCTGTCCTTCAACAAACACTGGTTGAGCCCCTGTCTCCCTCTGGCAGAGGCAGTGGGGGAAGAAGAGGCGCTGCTTCCTGAGCTCCACAGGGAGCGCCTGGCACCACCATAGGCCTAGAACCTCTCTGCTCATCACAGTTCCACGACACACCGAGGCAGTGCATGCCACTGTCCCCACACAAGGATGAGAGCGACAAGGCCATTCATCCCACCAGGGTTTTTTTTAAGTGGAGGACCAGGAGCTTGAACCTGGTTCCATCTTATCCTCAAAGCTGCACTCAGGTGTCTCTTGGAAATCCAGCTCTGTCCCTGTATTTCAGGTATTTCCACTTCATAAAGGAAATAAGACCAACCCATGGAACACTTAAAGGAAATGAGAATGCCTACTTAGGGTTTCCTTCTGTTCTAAAGGAATTCAGGAGAAGACGCTTCAGAACAATCAAGATGAGTAGGCCTGCTGGTGGGGAGGACACAGCCAGGCCTTGGGTGGCGACAGGATTTAGAGGGACGGAGGCAGCAGGTGGAGGCAGCTGATTCCTCCGTCTGGGGGCGGGCCCGCTGCCCAGTCAATCGAGCAGTACTTATAGGGCATGGTGAGAGACAGCCGGGCAGGAACGTCACCACTCGCCAGTGAGTGGGCTTCTAGGGAGTGCCCACACAGGATCCGCTGCCGGCTGGTGACCGGTGACGGTGCTCTCCCTGCTCATGGAAGTGCCCGCATCACCGCGTTTTCCCATCCCAGGTGTGAGCCTTGAGTGCTCTCTGACGGAATGGGGGAGGCCCCTTGGAGGTGGTGGTCATGTCATTACTCTGGTGCCTTCCCCACCCCTTCTCTGCACTTGAAGTAAAAACAAACAAACAAACAAAAACATGTGAAAAGACAAGGAGGAAGAGGAGTTAATAGGCAAAGAGAAGGGGTGAAATGGCCCAAAAAGGGAGAATAAAGTAGCATTTTTTTTTTAGGATTTGGCCACAATGTGCTTGTGCTCACCAGAGAGACACCGACAGAGACAGAGGGAAAGTGAGAAGCCACAATCCCTTCTCCATTTTCTTCCTGGGATTTTGGGTACTTACATGTGCCCAGTGTGATTTTCAAGCCACCAGGTTTAGGACTCAAACCACAGTTAGCCATGTGGGAGTCCAGTGCCTTACTCACCATGTCGCCTGCTGGCCCAGTAAGATTTGTTAGAACAGGAAGCCTACTAGAGTGGAGCATTTATATTAGGAAGTAAAGTTGAGGGGCCAGCAGGTGGAGTGGTGGTTAAGGGCACTGGAATCCCACATGGCTGGCCATGGCTCAAGTCCTGACCTGGTAGATTGCTTTCTCACTCCTCCACCCCCCTCGCTCTCTCATTCTCACTCTTGCTCTATCACTCCCTGATCAAATTTAAATAAATAAATAAATAAATAAATAAATAAA